TTTTTTTTTTTTTTTTTTTTTTTTTTTTTTTTTTTTGTCGTGGCAATAAATGGTTCTGGGTTTGTGCCCTCAAAAATTGAATTTTGTTTTCCCTGAGAGGGGTGGTGAGTGATGCCTGCCTGGGCCTCATCTCCTTTCACCCCGCAGAAAGCCTCATACGGTCTTTTTATCATTCCCGCTTTATGTGCTGAGAGAGGTGAAGTCACTTGCCCAAGGTCACACAGAGCTCAGGTTCAAATGCAATTTTATCGGACTTCCCAGCCTGAGGGCTAAATCACTCCACTCTCTGGCCTCAAACCTTATCAGGTCAAATGGAGACATTCTAACAATCCCCACTCGGGCCAGGAGGGCAAAGTCGCCTTACTCCTTTATTAGTTTGTGCATGCCCGGGGGCCAAGGATGTTGCCAGTTTTCTCCAGCAAAATCCGTGGGAGGTTCCGGCACATCAGAGCAACTGAGAACATATTGTGGACTGATCTTCCTGATAGGATCTCCTTCCTGGGTGGTGCTTGCTGGCCTTGCTCCCAAATCAGGATGACCCTGGGCACTGGCAGCTTCCGGGACTGGTTAGACAAAGGGTCTCCGCCCTGAACTCCCCACTGCTCCCCTTGCTTCTGGAATGAAATCCCCAGGTTGTGATCTGTTCCGCCCGCCTTGCTGGCTTCACTTTGTGACCCTGACCCCCTCACTCGCTCAGCTTCAGCCACACAGGTCCTTCCGCCCCTCCCGTGAGGCTTTTCCTGTCCCTGTTACTAAGGGCACTCTCCCCCAGTCTCTGCTCAGAGTGGACCCCCGAGCTCACAGGCAGCTCTCCCCCCATCACTTTCAAACCTATGTAAGATTTGTTACTCCCTGAAATTATCCGGGTTATGCATTTCTTTACTTTTGTCCATCTACTCCTTACATAGCGTCACGTGTCATGTGTCATGAAGGCAGGGAGTTTGTCACTTGGCATCGGTCTCCCCTTACACTAGCACAGTGCCTAGCATCCCCATAAACGGGGATGAATGCTGGAGACACAGGGGATAAGGTGGTCCCTGCCCCACAGCGTGTCTGGAAAGTTAATATGAGAATGAGACACGTGAACATGGGACTTGGCACATAGCAAGCGCTCGGCAAGTGAAGGTTGTTACTTCTTCAATCAACAAGTATTCATTGAGCAGCTGCTGTGTGCCAGTCACCAGCTAGGAGCCAGTGAGGAAAACCAAAAAGGACCCTGCTTTTCTGAGCTGACTGTTCACTGACACCGAACACAAAAAAATATGTGAATTACACAGTATGTCAGGAAGTGATCAGTGCTATGCAGAAAAACAAAGCAGAGAAGGGGTTCTGGAGGCCAGAGGGTGAGTGGCTATTTGAAAAAGGATGGTGGTGAGGTCTCACAGAGAAGGTGATATTTGAGCAAAGATCTGAGGGAGGGGAGGGAGAGTGCCTCGCAGATGTCTGATGGAAAAACTCTCCAGGCAGAGGGACCCAACCTCTCTTTGCAGGTGCAAAGGCCCTGGGGTGGGACCCTGATCCTGTTAGAGAATCATAAGGGTCTCCTCTCTCTCTGCTGTTTTCTTTCTCAAAATTGACAAGCACAAGTGTCTCCCGCCCAAGTGCTGCCGAAAGTGTGCAGCATCTCTCCCTGTGACCCAGCCGCCTGCCTCTTTAACCTTGAATGCCTTTTTGGGTCTCATGTGTCACTGGGTGGCGAGTGAGCTCCCCTTACTTCAGAAGAACGGCATGGGATGGGGGGGCCTTAGGTGGTGTCCGCCTCACCTATTACTGCCAAAAGTGGTCATGGGGTTATTTTTAAACGTGGGGAGGAAGTATTTATTGTTCCCGGGCCGAGGAGAGCTGGGCAGCCTGTAGGATTCTTCTGGGGGAGCAGTGCTGTGTCCTTTCTACCATGGTGAGTAGCGAGGGCTCCTTGAGGTGTGATGCTGTGGAAGGGGGGAGGAAACACCACCTACAAGCAGAGGGCAGAGGGGAGGGGCAGAAAGCTGGCTTATGAGGGCCCCAGCCCCTGGTAGAAAAAGCAGTGCTTGCTGTGTGCGCACAGAGGAACCCCAATCAATGCCCCGATAAGCCACAAATAACAGCAGCTCCCAGGGACTCGCAAAAACAAAATAAGAGAGTTGGCTTTTTTATGGCTTGTCTACTGACCTCTCGAGGAATCAATAACTCCCAGGGCTTGCAAAATGGGATTGAACGCTTTTAAGGATCAAATTGTAATTCTTTTCTCTTGTTCAGGCAGCTGGGGAAAAGAATCTTTTTGTTTTCACCTTTTGAACTTGCAAATTTAAAACCTTTCTCCCTGTGTTGTTGGGTTAGGCGTCCCCCTCCCAAAGCAGGAAGCCCCCAAATCAGGGCCAGTGGAGGAGAATGGTTAGGGGCGCAGACTCTGGAGTCAGACTGCCCAAGTGCAACTCTGGTCCTGCCTTTTTGTGCCTGTGTGACCTTGGGCAAGTGACCCAACCTCTCTGAGCCCCAGTTGACTCCCCAGTCAAATAGCTACAGTAATCATAGCCCCTACTTGACAAGAGGACTACATGAAATCATGTATGTATATGTATAGTGTTCGAGCGTTTGCTCTAACTATTTAAAGTCAGAGAGAAGCGGGGTGGAGACAAATGTTAACTTGCTCTTCTCTTCACTGTTTGTGTGTGCAAGGACAGAACATTTAGAAAGGATATTTCACTGCCATTTGGATCAAAGGAGAACTGGGGAGGGGGAGCAGTGGGTTTTAACACCCTGAGAAAGTGTCATTTCATCTCGGCATTCCTCATGGTTTAGTGAGCCTGACGTTTTCCCTCTCCAATCAATTCTCCTTCTGCGCATTACTGAACTTTTTTTGTGAAATGCATTGCAACAGAGGCAGCTGGATCCCGCCGGGGCTGATCTGAAAGTGTTACCTCCTTCCCCGGAGACGTACCCTCCCCTAGTTTGCAAAGGTGGTGCTGCAAACCCTCTGTCTCTGAGGATCCACCAGAATCAGGGTGGATTCTGGGTCCTCTTATCCCTCCAGTATCACCATTTTTGAGATGAGAGTGGGCGTCAAACCCCCATTTCACAGATGAGCAGCTGAGGCTCACCCAGAGATGGGACCCGACTCCCAGCTTCTGACTCTTTTAATTAATGCTTCCCCCC